TACAGCTCTTATCGGCAGCAACCTATTAGAGAGCCTGCATACATCAAAAACACCAATACATGTAGTACACAAGAAAGTACATGCGAGGATGTACATTAATTGAGTACGGCACTCTTATAATATTCTTATATATTCTTATATATATTCTTATAATATTACAATCCAAGGATTGCAATCGAAAGTCGCAATGCATTGCGACGGCACCGTCGAGTACACACTGCTCATATGATGAGCTGTTGAATAGTCTATTGCGACTGCACTCGGCGGGTCCATACAGCACATATAATGAGTTGTATAATAAACGATTGCAATCGAAAGTCGCAGTGCACCTATAGTCTATTGCGACGGCACCGTCGAGTACACACTGCTCATATGATGAGCTGTTGTATAGTCTATTGCGACTGCACTCGGCGGGTCCATACAGCACATATAATGAGTTGTATGATAAATGATTACAATCGAAGGTCGCAATTGCACCTGAGAACGAAGAGGACCGTCATTGACGGGGGTGGTGGTGGGTCTCTTCACACTCTCATATTAATTTTTACTTTCAGCTACTTCCTTATTTTATCTGAAAGAAAAACAATTTATAATCTTGGAGAAACAGGGGACACACGTATATATAAAATAATTTTTAACAAAAAACAAATCCGACTTCGAAATGCACTAAAAAGAGTCAAATAATTTCTATTTCATTTATACCAATATTCCATAGCTATTAATAATATCTACTTAATCGTTAAATAGGATACCAAATACATTTCAAAGTTTTCGGAGGCGGCGCAAAATTAAAAACTTTTCCTCTACTAAGAAGATCCTAACTCGGACATCGGCAACCTATGATAAATCACCCATTTGATAATTTCAAGTAAATAATATTCAACGGGAATCAACAAACCCATTGCGAATTAACTATACTGCAGTTCACGAGTGACCGCACTTAACTCGCGCAGCTAGTGACCTACTGTGGTCTTCTTGAGATTTTTAATAGTGCGTGTGATTCCCCATTACAGCTTGCTTCTTACTTTGCGTTCACATCATTTTTTTCTTGCGACAAATAATAGGAATTTCATTGTATCGTGAAACTTTACAATATCATCACCGATTATCAATTATCGTATGTTATATATTTCTGCCCGCCATTTATATGGTCGCAAAGTATAATAAGAAGCAAGCTATAGAGGGGAATAACACACGTTATTAAAAATCTCTCTAGACCTAGTGAGCGGCGCGAGTTAAGTATGGTCTCTTGTGAACTGCAGTATAGTGCATGTACATCAGGAGGGCTGCTAATTTCTCATACAATCGTTACAATTACAAATGTTTTCAGCCGGACCTATAATGATTCTCTTACGACTTATTAATTACCAAGTTTGCCATACCGCAATCAAATCGTTATTGGCAGCATCGTTTGTTCGGGTATTTTTAATTTTTCGCCGCCTCCGAAAACTTTGAAATGTATTTGGTATCCTATTTAACGATTAAGTAGATATTATTAATAGCTACGGAATATTGGTATAAATGAAATAGAAATTATTTGACACTTTTTAGTGCATTTCGAAGTCGGATTTGTTTTTTGTTAAAAATTATTTTATTTCACACTTTTTAGTGGAACCTGTAGTATTTTTAGGATAGTGTAAGGTGATTTTGGGTTTCTGTTACTTAGCTAATAACCATAAACCTAAAAAATATTGACCAAATTTAAATGGTTAATAAACAACAAATTCTATAAATTTTTGCAAGTGGGGTCATCGCGGATATACAGAGTGTCACGCGACTACCTCTACAGCCGAAGAGGAATGATTGCTAAGGTGATTCTAAACAACTATTTCCTTTTCCAAAATGTTGGTTAAGGCTTGTTTTTCTAGTTATTAACAAAAAACACCGACCAATCCGAGCGCGTACAGCGCGCGGGCTCAGGGATTGCAATGTCGGCTATGAAAACCGGGCCTGACGTAGGTCGCAAACGAACGGCTCGGCACCCCGTTGGCATAGCACAATAAAAAAATTGGACGGGTAGAACATTTTTAGTCGTTGTTTAAAATGAATACGGAACCTAATCTCTTGTCGCCTATCATAATGTAAAAAAGGAAATTCTAAGGATTCTAAACAACAAATAAAAATGATTGAAATGGAATAATTAATAAACGTTTGAATTGGAAGCCACGTTAATGATGAAAAATTTGAAAACAATATAAATGAAACTTTCGCATTCGTTTGTAAATTAACCTACTACGCTGAAAGCAGATAATTGTCACTGGGAATCGAGGAAACACGTTCGGTAGAACAGTAATTTTCATGATCGGGCCAGTGAACTCCCCTTATTTATTGCACTTAGGTGTGAATGATAGGCGTGGTGTTTGCTCATCGAATGTCCAGAATCGACACAGTGATCTAGTGGGAATTATTTGCTTTCAGCGTAGCAAGTTAATTTAGAAACGAATGGGTAAGTTTTATTTAAATTGTTTTCAAATTTTGCATCATTAGTGTAGCCTTTAATTCAAACGTTTATTAATTATAACACTTCAAACATTTTTATTTGTTGTTTAAAATCCTTAGAATTTCCTTTTATTATGACAGGCAATAAGAGATTAGGTTCCATATTCATTCTAAACAGCGACTAAAAATGTTCTACCAGTTCAGTTTTTTTATTGTGCTATGCCAACGGGGTGCCAAGTAGGGATGGGCAATATGTTTCGATTAATTAAATATCGATAGTTTTTTTCCTAATAATTGATTATTTTTGTCGATGTTTCTACAAATCAATTAATCGATTATCGATACTTTTTTACATAACATCGGTATTTTTTATCTCTGTGAGAAAACTGAACAGCATGATATGATAACTCGACGCGCACTATTCAATGAGCGTATAATTTTCGAGAAATGTTGTATGCTCATTGGGTATAAGTCGTGTTCCGAAATTCATTGCTAGCACTGAAAATCTGTAATACGTAATTGGATTCCTGCAGTGGCAGTGAATTTCGGAACGCGACTAAATAAGAACGCCTTACGCATTTGTGGTATTATATTCTTGTGACTCTTATTCTATGATCTTAGATTTAAATTATCTTATACAAATGCTCCATCTATAATTTACTTTATCATCTCAATCCTTTTGCATCTGTTCTACTATTGCAGGTACAGTGACTTTTTATAAAGTACTGTTAGGCGAGAACCTCTGCTAGCTTGACTAGCAGAGATAACACCCTGCATCCCCTATTCCCACGGTACGGCAGCCCAGAAACTTATGACACATAGAAACATAAGAATCCGACGACTGGGCTGCTTCTTCGCGAACGAAACTGCGCAACATATTCATATATATAATAAAAAACCACACCCGGGTGGCCATTCTGCGCCAGGCGACTTCATAGCAAGGGTCACGATCGCTTAATAATAGTTAGTTCTTGTGCGAGATTTGAACCATTGTCCAAAATTCAATTATTAATTTAATAAAACGAACGCGTGTGGAAGTGTTGCGACGTAACAGTACGCATAATATTTTGATGTTTATGCTGCTTATGCATATCTATCCTTAGAATACCCCATTTCCTAGATTTAATAGAAACATTTTTTCTAATCACGAAGTCAACCCTGTTGCACTTACAGCTCAAGAACTCGCAAAATACTATTACTACTTTGGGGATATTCATTAATATTCTTCGAAGTTAACATTGAATGTACGATTCTGATTTAACTATATTTTTTAGGAAAACTTAAATAAGAAAGATAGTGTAATATTTTTTGTTTATTTGTATATACATTTTCTAGGCTACACTCTAGGAAATATGCTCAGGGCGATGTTTCCAAAATCAGCCCTAGTAAAAAAGAATTCGATACTTCGATATTTTTTAAAAAGCATCGATGTTCAATTATCGATTTTTCAACTAATCGATTATTTTAACATCGATATTTTTGTCGAACATCGCCCATCCCTAGTGCCAAGCCGTTCGTTCGCGACCTACGTCAGGCCCGGTTTTCATAGCCGACATTGCAATCCCTGAGCCCGCGCGCTGTACGCGCTCGGATTGGTCGGTGTTTTTTGTTAATAACTAGAAAAACAAGCCTTAACCAACATTTTGGAAAAGGAAATAGTTGTTTAGAATCACCTTAGCAATCATCCCTCTTCGGCTGTAGAGGTAGTCGCGTGACACTCTGTATATCCGCGATGACCCCACTTGCAAAAATTTATAGAATTTGTTGTTTATTAACCATTTAAATTTGGTCAATATTTTTTAGGTTTATGGTTATTAGCTAAGTAACAGAAACCCAAAATCACCTTACACTATCCTAAAAATACTACAGGTTCCACTAAAAAGTGTGAAATAACATAATTTTTAACAAAAAACAAATCCGACTTCGAAATGAACTAAAAAGTGTCAAATAATTTCTATTTCATTTATACCAATATTCCGTAGCTATTAATAATATCTACTTAATCGTTAAATAGGATACCAAATACATTTCAAAGTTTTCGGAGGCGGCGAAAAATTAAAAATACCCGAACAAACGATGCTGCCAATAACGATTTGATTGCGGTATGGCAAACTTGGTAATTAATAAGTCGTAAGAGAATCATTATAGGTTCGGCTGAAAACATTTGTAATTGTAACGATTGTATGAGAAATTAGCAGCCCTCCTGATGTACATGCACTATACTGCAGTTCACAAGAGACCATACTTAACTCGCGCCGCTCACTAGGTCTAGAGAGATTTTTAATAACGTGTGTTATTCCCCTCTACAGCTTGCTTCTTATTATACTTTGCGACCATATAAATGGCGGGCAGAAATATATAACATACGATAATTGATAATCGGTGATGATATTGTAAAGTTTCACGATACAATGAAATTCCTATTATTTGTCGCAAGAAAAAAATGATGTGAACGCAAAGTAAGAAGCAAGCTGTAATGGGGAATCACGCGCACTATTAAAAATCTCAAGAAGACCACAGTAGGTCACTAGCTGCGCGAGTTAAGTGCGGTCACTCGTGAACTGCAGTATAGTTAATTCGCAATGGGTTTGTTGATTCCCGTTGAATATTATTTACTTGAAATTATCAAATGGGTGATTTATCATAGGTTGCCGATGTCCGAGTTAGGATCTTCTTAGTAGAGGAAAAGTTTTTAATTTTGCGCCGCCTCCGAAAACTTTGAAATGTATTTGGTATCCTATTTAACGATTAAGTAGATATTATTAATAGCTATGGAATATTGGTATAAATGAAATAGAAATTATTTGACTCTTTTTAGTGCATTTCGAAGTCGGATTTGTTTTTTGTTAAAAATTATTTTATTAAGTCAAGATGTTTTCCTAGTCCAAGTAATGGTCTTTTATTATTTTATACAATAGAGTCAGAATTTAATTTTCGGTTCGTCCTCAATAGGTCCGCTCATGTCATAAACTGAGTTTATGCTTGGCACAAATGATTTTCTTTGGTCTATTAATTAGTATGTTCATTGATCAATTTGGTCTAAAGGCACTTTTGACCCCCTTATCCGGCTATACCCTTTATTAAGCAATTCTAAGAAATTAACAAAAGCAATTAAAAATAGGTATTATACATTATATGTTTAAAAAAAGGCGATATTTCTTGACGAAATTACTACTTTCTACTTTTTTCACGAGTTACTACTATAATGAATTCTACCTATACGTATGCGTCTATAGCAACAAGAGCGACGGCCGCTTGCTTACTGTTTCTGTAAACGGAGGGGGTGTACCTTTTCTATAAATTCAGTGCAACATTTTTCAATATTATGAAAAGAAAGCGAGGTGTACCTAAACAATCACTAACAGTTACAGCTATCCGGAACAGTCACTGCAGATACACAAGTATCTGCATTCACCGATACATGTTGCCCGTCGAAGTTTATGTGTATTCGTTTCTAAGGGTCGAGTGTCATCGCGTTACGTGTTTTCAGTCTAAAGAACGTAAGCAAGCGGTGCGAACGGGTAGATTACAAATTTTTAACCGCTTACATTCTGTTTCAAAAATGACATTTCGTGATACGCGCACATCATATAGGAAATGTGTTTATCGCGGTTGTGGTGTTACATCGCGTAACAAAACAACCGAAATATTACATTCATTTCCAGTTAAAGACAATAATCGATTAATAGAGTGGATCGTGGATAGTGGTAATGATGATTTCGCGGAGTTAAGTGATGGATAGTTAAAACGGCGGTACATTTGTACAAGACATTTTGCCGAAGAAGACAAGGTAGTGCAAATAAAGTTGAAGAAGGATGCCGTACCGGTATTATATGATTTGCGTGAAAATAATGAACAGCCGGCGCCTACGCGTAACAGTCGTAAGTATTCACGCGAATTGCTTTCTACAAGAAAGCAAAAACAAATTAATCAGTTCAAATTAGCAACATAGAAATTGCGTAAACTGCTAGCGAGCAAAAATAAACAAATATTAGTATTAAAACGTAAATTAGAGTCGTACAAAATGACGGAGTCAGATTTCGATCGAAACATAAAGGACAAAGTTTCCAATAAAGTAAAGACATTTATGTTAATGCAATTGTATCCGCATCCTGTATTTTCTGCGGACGAGCAACAGATTTGTTTATTGATGCATTATTCATCACCGTGTTTATTCCGAAAACTTCGTGACAATTTCGGTTTCCATTTACTATGTCCTAGAACAATTAGTAGATGGTTTGGAAGCATCGAAATGTGGCCAGGCATTTGTACGACCTTTTTTACACAGTTACGTAAAAAGATATCGCGGATGGATGATTCAGAACGAAATTGCGTGTTACTGTTCGACGAAATGACGATAAAGAAGTGCTTTGATTTTCACTCCAAAAAACAAAAAATTGAAGGCTTCCAAAATTATGGTGCCTTTGGATCTGAGATGAAACCAGGGACGCAAGCCTTAGTCTTCATGGTTGGCGGTTTATTTTATAATTGGAAGCAATCGGTTGCTTATTTCATAAGTAACAGCAACATGTCAACTGTAAACTTGTTGAATGTGCTTGAGGTGGTAATTGCTGCTGTCTGTAGCACTGGTTTACGTGTACGTGCAATTGTTTGCGATCAAGGCTCTGGTAACAGATCGGTAGTACATCGAAAAGTATCTCTTGATAAACCATATATAATACATGAAGGAAATAAAATTTATTTTCTTCATGATTATTTGCATATATTTAAAAACATTCGCAACAATTTATTACAATATAATCTTAAAATCAACGATTCTGTAGTTTCATGGTCAGACATATCATCTCTATGGGACCTGGAACGAAACAAAGGCACTAGGGCAGTCGTAAAATTGTCAGAGAAGCATATTCGACCGAATGTATTCGAGCGAATGAATTGTAGGCTCGCTTTACAAGTGTTTAGTCGAACAGTTTCAGCAGCTTTGTTAACGGCCAGCACACAAGGGCAAATCCAAAGCGATACTGTTGCGAATACTGCATGTTTTGTTCGACTGTTGAATGATTTATTCGATAATTTAAACAGTCGAACCGCACATGATGCTAATCCACAAAATTGTGCCTTATCAAATAGAAATCCTCAAATAGAAGAAAATTTGATAAGACAGACAACAGCATGTACAAATTGGTTCGTCATTCAAAAGGGTCGGCAGGTACGTCTTCCGTGCTTCAGAGGCTTGCAGTTATCAATTAACGCGGGCAATTATGAACAAAATCCGTCCGTGAAAACATTTAGATTGAATTTGCAGAAAAATATGATGTTAAATTTAATGAAGCCATCGCAATCTGCAAATTGTTTAGATGACGAAGATTGTAATCTTTTCACTTTGCCACAATCTTCGGAAAATGTTGCGTCAACTAGTACCGAAAATTCGTCAGTTTCTGTTAATTGTGACAGCAATCTGTTGCTCCCGTCAAAGCCTAGAAGCAGAGGATGCAAGTGATACTATCATCGCTGATATCTTGCAAGAAGTATCTGAAACTGCCCACACCTTAGAGTCATGTGCTATTGAATATTTTGCAGGATATGTCGCTAGGAAAAATATTAGAAAAACCAACTGCGACATATGCAAGGCAGAATTATTAGATAGTACAACAGTTCTTTCACGAAATGAACAGATTTTAATATTTCTTCGTGTCTATAAGACAAATAATGATTCAAATTTTGGAAGTCTTATAGCCCCTAGTAAAAAATTTTCTTTTGCATTTCGTATATTTAATGCTATTTTTGATAAAATGTACCCTACTTTACGGGCTGAAGAGGGCATTCTTGATAAAATATTTCCGTATTTTGTACAAGGTGTTAACAATTCACCTCAGCTTTGTGGTTGGTTTGACAGTAGTACGTGCAACGAACATCGAACAAAAATAGCATATTTAATGATGAAAGTAAAAATTCATAAGGATACGATATGGCTCAGTCAAGAATTGCGACGCCCTAAAAGTTCATTTCACAAGCCAACTGCAAAGGTACGGAAATTGCAAAATATGTGAAAGACTGTTTTCATTTTCAGAATGTCTGCCTTTCTACTTATCTATCACAACAAATACAGTCAGAGGCGATCTAAGGTGAGCTGACAATTTATAACTGTTCGTAGAATATGATTTTGTATTTACTTTTAGTATAGTTGGTAGTTTGGATAAGCATGTGACAAACTAGTATAGAGTAGTTTAGTTTTTATATAATTAACACAATAACAAATACAGTCAGAGGCGATCTAACGTGAACTGACAATTTATAAAGTGGTACAATAGGGCTCCAGGCAAAGATCCACTATAAAAAAATCTAACGCGCCATTAGTGGAACCTCAAAGGTGGTGTGGATGTCCACTATTAATTATTATTTAATTGTAAAAAATTAATACGTTCTTTAACCATAGTGAATTTGCTAAGAATGAATTGCCAGGTTTCTTGGGTACAATATACTGCTGAAAAGAGTAACAGCTTATGGCATCCTCAAGTGTTTGCGGCTGTCTCTTCTTCTGCCATGTGGTGAACAAAATCGGCTCGCGTCCTTGCATACCCCCCGCATACCCTACCTTCGATGCCTGTCCCGTGCTTTTGAAGGATTTATGGAAAGGCTTTATAACAGAAAACAGATCCCTAATATTCCGGAAAGTCGCAGATTGTGTCCAGCGGTGGGCAAATTTCATTTTATCCGAGTGTACATACAGTAAAACCTGGATAAATTCAACGAAAGAATGCTTGGATAAGTGAAACATCGCTATCCCCTCCACTTGGGGGGATCCCCCTAGGCGAACCGAGCCGCTCGACCAGGAAACCGTGTAATATGATCCTACCGTAATATTGGTGTGACTAATACTAATTCAACGATAAAACCTTTTTATTTTTAACCTTTTCTCAATGAAACTTTTACTAACGCATTTGTGAGATTTTTCTGATTAAAATGATACTGAACTCGATATAGGTTGAATTATATTTATAAACAATAGTACAGTAAAACCTGGATAAATGCAACGAAAGAATGCTTGGATAAATGCAACATCGCTATCCCCTCCACTTGGGGGGATCCCCCTAGGCGAACCGAGCCGCTCGACGAGGAAACCGTGTAATATGATCCGACCGTAATATCGGTGTGACTAATACTAATTGAACGATAAAACTTTTTTATTTTTAACTTTTTCTTAATGAAACTTTTACTAATGCATTTGTGAGATTTTTCTTATTAAAATGACACCAAACACAATATAGTTTGAATTATATTTATAAACAATAGTAATAGAATAAACAACATAGAATTGACACCACGACTGAATATAAATGATGTCGGCTGAATACAAAAGATGTGGACGGACACAGAATCGGCATGTCGGCTGAATACAAAACATGTGTACGGACACAGAATCGGCATGTCGGCTGAATACAAAACATGTGTACGGACGCAGAATCGACACCTCGCTTGGATAAATGCAACATTAAATGCCCAGAATCGACACCTTGCCTGGATAAATGAAACCTTTGAAACCAGAGCCGACACCGCGACTGGTTTTGATTTCGATCTCTGTTGCTTTTCGCCAACCTTTAACATCAATTTTAGCAAGTAATTATAATTGAAACTATATCGTGTTTGGTACCATTTGAATCAGAAAAATTTCACCAATGCGTTAGTGAAAGTTTTAATAAAAAAAAGTCAAAAATAAAAAAGTTTTATAGTTGAATTAGTATTAGTCACACCGATACGTTTCGGCTCTTTCCTTTCATCATCGGACCTCTCTCTTTCCGCCACTGTCTGTCCCTTTCTACGTCGTCGCGTGTAACCCGCATCCCTGCAAATCTTCTATAGAACAATAAATGCAAATAAAATACTATGATTGCACATATTAAATTATTTTACATAAATAACTGTAAATAAAAAACGAACCTGAATATCTGCGATTGTAAAAGCATAAATCATTTCCAAAGTTGGATATTTGCAATTTGTGTTTAAGATTGATTATTTCGAAAACTATAATATTATGTAGTTATTTATGTAGAATAATTTAATATGTGCAATCACTGTATTTTATTTATATTTATTGTTTTATTTAGACTAATATACTCCCCGTTTCGAGTAGACGATTTTCACTGTGAGTGATTGTGGATCCTTCAAAAGCTGTAATTATTTCGGATATTTTAACGTAAAAGAATCTTCATTTCATATAAAATAGTGTCATATTGAAGTCCAGTATGTTGAGGTGTATGAACACTTTTTTCGGGTATTGTATAGTTCCTTCATACACATACATAAATGTAGAAAAAAAATATTATCAATATTTTCTTTTTTTATATTTGAAATGATTTCTGATCATCTTGCTGAAATAGAAAATATGTACATCGATTAAGTTGGAGACTCTTCAAGGGCCTATAAATAACCTCTCTCTACGCACCCAACTTTCGTGACAGCCACCACTTTCCTCAACTTTCTAGCCAATCAAAATCGCATTTTTCATACCCCTGTACCCAAAGGAACCAATACCTTGTTTCCTCAAGTCGACGTTTTACCAAAATTTTAGTTTCTAGTTAAAAGACATTCAGCTATCCGATCAACCGTGTCTACGGAGCGATCTATAAAAGGTAAGGATTAAACTTGTATTAAGTTTAACAAATGTGTCAGTTTAACAAAGTAAAACAAACTGTGAATCTAGGATTCCAATAATCCTATATTAATTTATAACTTTCTTTATAGAAACTAATCATGGGAATATGGAATACCAAATTGGTAGTGGAAAAACCAATTGCGGGGCCGGCGATTGCGGAGCCGGCGATTGAAGGACCGGCGAATCTTGAGCCGGCGATTGCGGGGCCACACAATCTGGAGGTATCAGTTGTGGAGCCAGTGGAGCCAGTGGAGACCCGTATAAAGGTACATTATTATTACATATACAAAGTGTCATGTACAATTACATGACATCCTCCATACAACTGAGTAATGAGTGTATGTGCTATGTACTTTTCTCGATATTCTCGATATACTTTTATACATTTCGTTTGTGTGTGAGTGTGTGTGTAAATTATGTGTTATGAATGTTTTTCATAATAAACCTTTCTGTGCCTTCTGTGTATGTATTTTATTAATCTTGTAATTTTATATGAATTTTAGAAAATAAAAGAAGCAGCACGGCGCCAGGCGAACAAAAAACATCGAAAAATGAGAACACAATTAAGGAGATACCAGAGGGAACATATACATGCACCTCCGCCGGCCCCCGTCTACGTACCTCCGCCGGCCACCGTGTACGCATCTTCGCCGGCCCCCGTGTACGCATCTCCGCCGGCCACCGTTTACGCATCTCCGCCAGCCACCGTTTACGCACCTACGGCGCACCCATTTATGGAACTACGCCGCACCGCCTATACGTACCACCGCCGCACCGCCTATACGCACCACCGCCGCACCGCCTATACGCATCACCGCTGCACCAGATGTATTATAACCAATATTAAAAAAAAATGTTTTTAAAATACACTTTTTTTCTTTTAAATACCTGTCCCACATTATATTTTAAAAATACAATTATTATTTATCATTACTGCATGCATAAATTGCATTTTCTGTTCACTCCGTACGAACTTCTTACTTCTCTGAAATTAAAATTATTTTTTCAACAGAAAAACCATGTCCGCATCTAGAAATTGAGTGGAGCTCGATAAAGTAAAAGATCTCGCGGCATTCCTTTGACATGTATTTGTCTCACGATCAGTTTATTTCGTTGCGCGTATTCTCTTTCTTTGTCTAGTGAGATATGACAACGCTGTGCTGAAGGCTGGTAAGCAAAGGGGTACAATCCCGGGTATCGAAGCAATCTTCCGTTACCATCAACGCGTGTTACACTTCTCTAGTGCGAAGTGTTTCACATTTTTATATTAGGATAAAGCAGATGGCGCTCGTTCTCGAGGCACAAAGTTTAAGTTTAAGTTTCTTTCTTTTCCCCAGTACATGTATTGGTTTACTGATTTACAGATTTGCACCGGAGATGGCGTTTAGGAGGAGTTCTCCTTTTTTGCCCAACGAAAGCTGATCACAAAAATCTTACAGTATCCTAGTTATCATATGTGTATCATTTAAATATAAAAATTTGTTAAGTAACAATAACATTATAAAATATTATAAGGATACAAAAGTCTTATAACTCATTCTTTTCTTAAGCCTGAAGTCCTTTCTATATAATATTTAAACAGTCTTTGTTGGTTTTTCAGGCACATGTATCACACTTGGTATAAAATTACAGGGAATTATTGTCAAAACACTTAGATTAATACTAGTTGTAAAAGATCTGTAATTATCAAATTGTATTTTTAAAGCCTTCAAATTATATTATCCTATTTGTACTCCTTAGGAAGATGCTTAGTAGTTTCATAGCACTCCTATTTTTCAGACTGATCAGGTTGTGTACTTCTTGCACTCCTTCACCCGTAGCTTCCAGTTTTTCTAGTAAAGTTCGCCTCTCAGTTCGGTATCTTTCACATTCCCAAATCATATGATCAATATCTTTCAGGGTATCCCCGCATTCACATATAGGAGACCTAATAATCCTTTTCCTGTGTAGCGAGGCCGCTAGATTGTAGTGATCCGCTCTTATTCTGTTCAAAGTGGCAATTTCACCTCTGTCCCAATTTGAAAACTTGTGAAACCATAGTTTTTTGTTACCCAAATTCGTGTCTAGTCTCTGCATATATTTTTTCCCCTTCTCCTGTCCTTCCATGAACAGGGCCATATCAGACTTTTCCCACTGTTTGTCGGTTACATGTGTTAACATGTCGCTTAGTGGGAGCTTTAATCTTTCATCTGGGGTATTTCTCGTATTTTCTTTGGCTAGAGTCCGTGAAAATAAAGACTTCCTTGCCTGGGTATCTTTCGATCGCCAATGTGACAGCCATTCTTATCGCAATTGCCTCAGTGGTAAAGATCGATGCCCTTTTGACCACGCTGTGACTAATTTCGTCCCAGTTTCCGTTTTCTCTAATTGCTATTCCAACTCCATTTGCGCAGGCCTGAGGAATTTTTGATCCATCTGTGAAGATCCAGATTAGATTATTAGATTCCTTGCATCCAAAATGTAATTTAATTTCACCCAGAATAACGCATTCTGGAACAGTGGTGACTCTGTTTGGTAGGAAGTCTAAAGATGTTATGATATTGTTGCGCCGGGGAGTGGAGCTCGCACTTTCCATCGTCAAATAAATAGAGACGAAGCAAACTAGACTGTCTATATTTCGATTACAAAGGAGTTCTTAATCAATAGATCCGTACAGGTCGGGTTCCCGATACATTGTGATTTTCAAACGCCGCGCGGTTGTCTAAGAGACCTCAAGCATCCGATGACGTGTTTCCGCTCGAAACATGGAATAGCTTCACATCATGATTCGTTGACAGCTTCGGACGGGGCAGTCGATGGCTTTTTCGATACATCAAGAAGCAGTCGATGCATAGAAAGAGCGGAAACTTCTCACTGTCGCAACAATATTATCCATCGTCTTTTCAGTAAAGGTGACAGGAAAACAGCTGGGTGGATAATTATTCTTGTATAGTATTTGTTCAAGCCCTGCTTCCTCAGTCTCAAGCCACGCTGCTAACATAGGGTCTTTTTCTCCGTATCTGCTTAAATTGCCTAGTCTTATTCTATTTTCTATGGCTTGTAGAGTGTTGTTTGATCTTCTGTTTCTAAGTTTTAATATAGTTTTCAATGCTAGTAATCCAACTCTATATTTGAACTTCATTATTCCAGATTCCATTTCCATAACATTTATTGGGGTGGTGATTCTGTAGCCCATTGCAATTCTTATGCCAGCGTTGTGTATTTTGTGAATTTTTTCTTTTATCCTGTCTTCAGCCGTATAATAGACTGTAACTCCGTATTCCAAAATTGATCTTATTAGAGCTTTAAATAGTAGTATCAACGTACCTGGATCAACTCCTTTCTTGATTCCTCCCAAGTATCTTAGAACATTTAATCTTTCCCTTGCTTTCGTCGTTAAGGTTTCTATATGTTTATTGAAATTCATTTTTTGGTCAAAAATGATTCCCAAGAATTTTAGTTGTTTCTCCTCCTATATCTGTTGGTTATTTATCCTAATCTTAATTCCCTTTTTGTAGATATTACCATTTCTGCTAAAGATTACCATTTGAGTTTTTTCTTCTGAAACCTCCAGATTTATTTTTTTAAGGTTTTTAATAATGATTTCTAGATTATATTCAATAGTGGAAGCTAGTTCCCATGAATCTTTTCTTGTTGTTATGGTTATAATATCATCTGCATATTGTAGGGTTTTCGAGTTCTGTTGATTTGTACCATGTGTTACGTCCGACGTGTATAGATTATATAAGATTGGGCTAACAAGGGGAGGCCACAACCTCCGTCCCACCGATTTTGATCGCCTTCAACATATAGGTTGGGGGTCACCCAAAAGTCACTTGTGTGAAAGGGTTGAGGTCACTACGCCTTAGTTTTTTTTTAAATCGAGGTCAAAGGTCATAACGCCGGATCGGTTTTAGACCTAGGGGATCGGTAGATTGTTCGAAAGCAAGCAAATTTTATTAATGTATACCTAGTCCGCAAATTAATAGTTTTCAAGTAATCGATGAATTAGTGATTTCAACGCGCGACTTATATACCTAAAGGTGTAACATTTGTTTCAACCGAAGCGGTGGCGTAGTGGTTGAGGCGGTTTCATGCGGAACCTAACGTTGCGCGTTTGAGTCCCCCCTTTACGTACTATTTTTTTTTATTCAAACGAATAAATTAAAATACTTTTAACAATAAAACTTCAAGAAAAATAAAATAATATTTGTATTTTTGATACTTACCGCGTTTAGCAGAACCACTCTCCAATTAATGTTCGATCTCTTCCCTTCTCTCTTTCTCTCTCTCGCTTTATTTCACTCACTCTCATTCACTGATTGTTGTAATTCGCCTTCACAATGCATCAGGTAATAATTGTCATAGAAACACTGACAATGAAAACAAATGAACTTCCTGCATTCTTCTGTTCACATATACATACTTTGGCATTAGTAGAATACTACTTTTAGGTATATAAGTCGCGCGTTGAAATCACTAATTCATCGATTACTTGAAAACTATTTATTTGCGGACTGGGTATACATTAATAAAATTTACTTGCTTTTGAACAATCTACCGATCCCCCTAGGTCTAAATCCGATCCGGCGTTATGACCTTTGACCTCGATTTAAAAAAAAAGTAAGGCGTAGTGACCTCAACCCTTTCACACAAGTGACTTTTGGGTGACCCCCAACCTATATGTTGAAGGTGATCAAAATCGGTGGGACGGAGGTTGTGGCCTGCCCTTGTAAGTATTGAACCTTGTGGAAGGCCCTTTTGAAGGACTCCTTCAGTATGCTTCTTGTGTTTTCTCTGGAATATTAATTTTCTTTGTGTTAACCATTGCTGAATATAACTTTTAATTTTTGTTGGACAATTTTTTTTTTGTAAAGTTTGTATCAGTAAGTCATGAGACACAGAGTCATAAGCAGATTTTACATCCAGTGATACTGCAATGGAGTCCTTTCCCTGTTCGAAACCCTGTTTGATCTTCATTGACATAGTAATCAGATTATCAAGGGTTGACCTACCTTTTCTAAAGCCATTTTGATCCGGATCCATTATCTCCCCATCTTCTGCCCATGACTTTATCCTCTCATTTATCATTTTTTCAGCTATTATACCAAGGCAATTAGTTAAAGAAATGGGCCTTAATGCTTTCTTATTAGGTTTTTCAATCATAATCACTACTGATTCCTTCCATTCATCAGGTATTTCCCCACCATTCCATATTTCATTAATTATGTTTAATAGGTGTATTTGATATTGATTTGTTAGTTTCTGAATGATTTCATAACCTATTCCGTCACTTCCTGGTGCTGACTTTTTATGTTTGATACTATTAATTGTTTTTTCTAGATCCGAAAGGAGGAAGTCATTCTCATACTTTAAAAGATTTGTACAGTACTGATGTGAGTTCTCAGTTTGTGTAAGTATTGTTTTGTCAGTTAAGTTGTTATCATCTCCAGCTTCAGGGGATTCTGTTAATTTTTTTATCATTGCTTCTTCAAGGTTGTTTCTTTCTTCTGGTGTCAGCGTGTGTGTCTTCTTTTTATATGTGCCTTTTTGTAATATATTTATATTTTCCCACATGGTTTTGGTGCTTGTTTTATGGTTTATGTTTTTGGTGAAATTGTCCCAAGCTGTTTTCCTGGTATTATCTATAGAATTTTTTTGGTGTGTGTGCACTTAGGTATAATTCCCATGTTTGAGGAGTTCTTTTTTTTGTAAAATATTTTAAGGCTTTTTTCCTTTCTTCCCTTGCCTGTTCACATTGTTCGTCCCACCATACTTGTTTTTTTTTTAATTCTAGCTTTATTTGTAGCTGAATTTTTGTTGTTTTTATTTTTTTGCTTTTTATTATTAGAGTTTATGTTTCTCATATTTACCTTCATTGATTCTTCTATACCTAGAATTATGTACTGCAGGAGAGTTTTATATTTTTCTTTTGTGTTTATGTT